ATTCCCAGCCACAGTCCCAATCAAAATAAATGGATTAGAAGTATGTAACCAATTGACAATGACTGTTTTCATAGACTTATCCGTGTATTTGTATAGGTTGAAACGAAGCGATCCCGCTCCCAAGTAAACCCTTCTCGGCATAAAGATATCGTGGCCAACTATGCACTGGCTACACCTGATCAAGTAAATGCTGCCGTCGATGCGGCTCTCATGGCCAAACCTGCTTGGGAGGCCACTCCGTTTGAAGACCGCGCGGCTATTTTTCTACGTGCTTGTGAGCTCATTGCTGGCAAGTATCGCTCTGAGATGGTCGCTGCGACGATGCTTGGTCAAGGCAAAAATATATGGCAGGCAGAGATCGATGCCCCAGCGGAGACTGTTGACTTCTTCCGCTACTACGTTCAAGAGGCATGGGCTCTTTACTCTCAACAACCTAAAGTTCACCCGGGCGGAAACTGGAATAAACTTGAATATCGTCCTCTTGAAGGATTCACTTATGCGATTGCCCCGTTCAATTTCACAGCACTTGGAGCTACACTTGTTGGCCCAGCCTCGTTGCTTGGAAACGTGGTCATCTGGAAGCCGTCAGATTCGGCCCTTCATGCTAGCTGGCTTCTCCACGAGATTCTGCTGGAAGCTGGCCTTCCTAAGGATGTTATTCAATTCATACCTGGCGACGCTGAGGAAGTAACCAATACCATTCTCAGAAGACCCGAATTCAGTGCTCTGACTTTTATTGGATCGACCGCTACTTTCAAGGGCATTCAAAAGAAGATTGGTGATGGTATTGGACAAGGCATCTACAATTCCTACCCTCGTGTTGTGGGTGAGACAGGTGGGAAGAACTGGGGTGTGGTTCATTCATCTGCAGACGTGAGGAGTGCTGCGCTCAATACCATTCGCGCTGCCTTCGAGTACCAAGGGCAAAAGTGCTCCGCCAACTCCCGTGTCTATGTTGCCGAGTCAGCTTGGCCTGAATTCCAACGGCACCTAAAAGAGGAAACGGAAGCATTGAAGGTTGGAGATGTCGAAGATTATGACAACTTTGTTAACCCTGTTATCCATGAGCGCTCGTTCGACAAATTGAATAAATTCATGGAGGATGCGAAAACCGATTTGGAGCTTGAACTGATTACTGGTGGTACGGCCTCAAAAGAAAAAGGGTACTATGTGCATCCCACCATCTATAAAACCTCCAATCCGCGTCACGATATCATGAACCGGGAGTTGTTCGGACCAATTCTGGGTGTCTATGTTTACCCCGATGATGAGTGGGAGGCCACATTGAAGTTGATTGATACAACCTCTAGATATGGCCTTACTGGCAGCATCTATGCGAAGGATCCGTACGCCAGCCGTCAGGCTCAGACTGCCCTAAAGCATGCTGCTGGTATGCTCTACCTGAACACTAAATGTACCGGCTCTACGGTTGCTCAGCAGCCATTCGGTGGTAGCCGAGATTCTGGTACTAATGATAAGACTGGCACTATGGCTCATTTGCAAAGATTCGTTAGCACCCGGACGATCAAGGAGGAATTTGTTCCGTTGGAGAAGGTCGCGTATCCTTCCAACGAGGTCTAGATGTCAGCGTTGGTCAAGGAAACTGAGAAATTCAAATACAATCAGTAGTACATGAAGGGAACATTAATTCCCAGCACTAGCCGGTATATGTATGTACGACCTTTTTGCCTCTTCTTCATGTCAGCAATCTCATTTTTGGAAATCAAGTGCAATAGTAGATGATCAGTTGCCCAGACCTGTATCTCACAAGCTAATTATAGCGACATAATTCTCTATTCAATATCATGCTAGCTGCACCACGCATTAGAGTAGTCTAGCAGATTTTATGCTTTCCATTGACAAGGGTTCTTCGGTCCTCTATCGTGTGATAGCCCACGCCCTCGGGACGGTGTTCCGACTGAACCTGGATATTATATTATATCAAGGCTCTAATTAAGGATCATCTTCAAGCCTTTATTAATTATTTACCTTTTTCTATCTAAAACTATCTACACCTAGAAAGCTGTCCTTTATAAGACCATTTAGTAGCTGAAAGAAAATCCATTTTCCAAATTAATTAACTACTAGACGGAATTCCCTAGCTAATATATCTTCTATTTTAACTAGAATATATGATCTAAATTAAGCCCTTTATAACTAATATTTATAAATTAAACTGTGCCTAACTTTGGGGCTACATTCACTAGAGTTGGCAGTTAGGCGGGCGGTCCGCAGTAGGTAAGTGGTAGGTAAGTGGTAGGTAAGTGGTAGGTAAGTGGTAGGTAGGTGGTAGGTGGGTGGTAGGTAAGTGGTAGGTAGGTGGTAGGTGGGTGGTAGGTGCCCTATCCCCCGATGACGCTCCTAAGAAAATAAAATAAAAAATAAATCGAAGAGCGGAAGCGACCCATCCCACCGCGGCCGGGAATTTTAATCTGGGCGACGATCCCTGCCCTACATCCTTCCATCTGTTATATCTATTCAGTATGATGCCCCGATCCATGATGAACGTCCCAGGCTGTGTTGCTTTACTATGTACAATACTACTGGCGCGACCGTATGAAAACCGTCCACCTGATATTTCTCCTATCAATTACCCTCTAGAGACGCCTTTGGTGTCCGGACATTTTTAGGTAGTTGAATGGGATGGTTTTTCGTCCGTCAAAAACTGTTAGAACCACTACCGTTCTTCCAGCCACTTTCTCCCCGTTGATTCCGTGGTGATGATGGCGCTCTGTTTCCTCCAAGGCTTCCACCCACATGGATTGCAATTTCCGACATTGATTGTGTATGCGCTACCTACTGTATGAATTTTTGTCAATTCATGCGCTCGATTAGGCTGGTCCTTAGGCCAAGCGCGTTCATTTCGATCTAAACATTCCTAGAGCCTCTATAGTGTGTACAGTGTATGTCGGCTCCATCGTAGGGAACGTTCTAGGTCTTCACCGCTACAATGTTGGGCAAAAGACTTAGGATCTAGTAGGTACCTAGTAATTCTAGGTCCTAATTCTAGGTCCCTGATCTAGAATAGCTTCCGGTATAAGGTAACCAACCTATCACAGCGTGTCCTCTGAACAATTCCGCCGAATCATAGGACCGGTGATTACCTTGCGATAATGATCTGTACAGAAAATAAGAGCTTAATCCGGGGTTTCCCCCCCCCCTATTTCGAGGTATTCGCGGCATTTCTTTCATGGTTCAATAAATCAGCAGGGTAAATTTCCGAGTACACTTGATGTTTTTCAAAAATCCCAATTATTTTAAAGCTTTATAAGAGAATTTAACAGATCATATTCAATATATTAGGCCACTATTTTTATAATAATATTGTAGTATATTTTTCCCCACTTTTATTTTGACAGCTTCCTCAAGATCCGGGGCCGTCTGGACTTTGCACAGTTGCTGACTGCTCCGTACCCGCGGGTTAGATGGGTGACGAGGTGGTGGATGAGGCTATAGTACGTAGAGTGGAAGACGCACCCTTTCGGCGGCGGCGCGCGGCGGTTTCAGCCCAGGGGCTTTTCCCCTATAAACCGCGAGATAGACGGGATGGCTGAGAGCTCAACGGAGTGACAATTTTACTACTATTATTATTACTTCACAAGAGAAGTAGCGACTTTAAAACTTGTATATAGATTATTTTCGTAAAATATTGTATTCTTCAAAAGACCTAATAATGTTTTCTGTTTAGATGTTATAAACATTATGAACGGGAGCGTAGTCTATATAGAAAAGTTTCTTTCAATACTTCAAATTTCTGGAAATACTACTGCTTGTTAAAAAGTAATATAAGAGATTATATGTAAAAGTTTTATATTTACTATTAAATCTATGAAAGACAATCTTAAAAAGGAGGTTTATAATCTAAGTTTGTTGAGAGATTGAGGCTTAAAACTATCAGGGTTTGCTGATTTTTGGTGGGAAAAAAGGGCTTGTATGTACTCGGACGTTTGACCCAGCTTGGGTGTGTGTAGTAGATACTAGACAAGTACAAATCTTCAAAGGAATACGTTCAGTGGGGCTGTTTCCATCGCGATGCCTCTGCTCTACAGCCGGTGCTGTGATTACTGTCTGGGAACCGGTGATGTGGGACAAAGATAAAAGTACAAGTAAAAAAACATATGAATATATAAAAACATAAGAATACGCGAAGTCTGGAAAGAGCAAGAAAAACAACAGAACGAGAACTTCATGACCATCACTAACTGTGTGTGGTATGCTGGTTTAGGTATATGGACCTGATGATCATTTGCCGATCATGAAAAATATGTTTTTCTGTCATCTTATTGGTATGGGAACCTTCACGCTCAGACTTCTCCGTAATCATGGCCAGGTGCTTGAGCAACAGCACCACCTCGCTAACTTGCCTTTTCTTTTTTCTTTTTCTTTTTCTTTTTCTTTTTTCTCTTTTTTTCGAATTCAAATTAATTTTTTGAGTTTTCCTCAAATGATCCCCAATGTTCCCCAAGCCATGCCGGCGGTTTCCTGCAAGCCCATCATCTTGGACCCACTCACCACTTTTCCAATGCAGATCAATGGCCACAAGGAAGGCAGATTGACATCGATGCTAGGCATAGCCGAAGTACCGTAGGTACTTGAACTGTTAGTAGTTTGCTTCTATGCGGCGAAATAGGTGGGAGAACACTCATCGTATGCACCAGACGTAACAACCGCGGGCTCTCAGGAATAGACTACTTTGATTGATTACGACTCCCCATTGGCCAGACGTCCAAAGCCTGCATTAGTTCGTAAGATCCTGGATGTATGTAGAAGTTTGAGCCCAGGACCGCCTACAAGGCCCCGATCCCGAAAGGACTTTTACTAGATGTTGCCCACATCTACCTATAAATACGCCATGGAAGAATAGTTCTCTTTCAACCATCTACATCCCTCACAGCTTTGTTATGTTCATGAATATTCATTCAAACTATTTTCAGTTGCATTGATTTCTCTCCGTCTTCCTCATTTTCTTTTCCTTTTCCCTTCCTTGTCAGTTGCTTGCCATGGAAAAGACAACGGGAGGGTCTGTATGGGGAACTTCAGTGTTTTCGTTCACGGAGGACGAACAGGTTGAACTTACATCTCCAAATCAGGGACAGGGCTATTTAGACCCGTATCATTCCTATGCACCGACGACTGCTGCTCCATACCCTTCCCTATCATCATTTGGCGTCGTGCCCGCAGATCAAACTATCTCCGATCTTTCCCCAGCCTTCTTGCCTTGGCCGGTCGATTACAATATACCGACACATATTCCTGTCCATGACAATAACGTCAACCCTCAAGCAACCGTCGCCACCTATGTATCTTCTCATGGCCACCTCCAAGAGTACCCTCGCGTCCCGAACCCCAATATCCAGCATCCATCTCAGTCACCGACCAACAACAACACCTTAACAACTGCTGACCAAAACTACAATACCCAGCACAAAACAACTAGAGCAACCAAAGCCCTGTAAGCTCGATAGTCCCTAGATTCCGCCATATCAAGTTTAATCGTCCTGCCCTAACGATGCTTCCCGCAGGCCCAACAACTCAACCAAGCCAAAACAATGGCGCTGCGATGAGAAGGGCTGTAAATACAGGGGCACGTTCGCCCGCAAAGCAGAAATGAAGCGTCATATTGAGTCCTTACACGTTAATCCAGGTTCACATGAGTGTCCGCTTTGCGGGAGCCAACATAACCGTAAGGATAATCTTGTTGCACATTTGAAGACCAGACATTGAGGGCTTTTCGTTTCTTCTTCTTCTTCTTCTTCTTCTTCTTCTTCTTCTTCTTCTTCTTCTTCTTCTTCTTCTTCTTCTTCTTCTTCTTCTTCTTCTTCTTCTTTCCTTTTTTCCTTTTCCTTTTTCTTTTCCTTTTCCTTTTTCTTTTTCTTTTTAGAAAAAGTTAGCTTTGATGTGCTCTAGTTCGTATTTCGGGTTTTGCTGTTTGCTGTGCCTCTTGGTAAGTAGGGCTATAGATTATTGGTTGTTGATAGACGTGAAGTTACTTGTCTTATCTAAACATTCAATCAATCGGTCAAAATTCTATTAGTCTGTTGGAGCCTAACTATTACACATCTAGCTATGCAGTTGCATGCAGTTTGCTGGAGGTAGTATTATAGGCAATGACGTTTTCTCAATACATTTATTGTGAGCGTGCAGATTTGCACTGCACATAATACACTTGTCAAACATGTCCATATATAGTTTTGTTTGATAGACAGTGTTTTATCATATAGTATCTTACCTATACTATAAAAAACAATCTCGTGCTTAGGAGCGTTGCCTAACATCTCATCCCCATGCAGCGCACAGTCGGAGTAAACATAGTTTATGGCTAATAATACAGGCCGATACGAGTGGTCATCACTACGGTCAAGTCTAGTAGAGAGATAGAATGCGCGTGTCTCTAGCATTAGACCAAAGCTTCGGAGAGTTTTTCTCTTTGAAGCCTGCTTTTCTCCTTCGCAGTGGTCATCTTATATCTGTTGTTGACACACCTCCGTAAAGTACTGTTAGTCCCTGGAGGACATGGTGGTGAAGCATTCACTGCGCAAAGATAGTATTCGAAAGTGACTAGCAGAGGCGGCGACAGAAGCAACAATTTATTTCTCTTATACATAGGTCTCTGAATACACTAGAGCATCATTATACCCAGCTTTGTTTCTTTCTTAAAAACATGACACTTACGCATCTGCTACACAACAAATAGTCCCCTAGAAGTAGAAAATACTGAGTTGACTTGGGCTGATGTCCCTACTTAATCGAGGCTTCGACTATAAATAGGGCGGACAAGAAGCAGAAGATTCAATGAGTGTGTGTGTGATCATGTCAGATCTAGCTAAGATCATGACCGTCGAAAGAAGCGAATGAATATAAGCAATAACAGGGAAGGAGACAGAGAAAGGAAAGTGACAGCAAGAGTATCTCAGAATATTGCCCAACAGGCAATAGACCGAGCTGACATGGAAAAGAATACATCGAAGCGACAGAGATTGAGTTTCGCGTTTGAATAAGAATCAAAGATATCCGGCCTTCTGGCATTTGCTGGCTCCCGCGACTGACAATGGGGAAAGAAAGCCTTTCACTCCCTCTGGAGGGATTTGATTCAGTCGCAGCAACCGTCGGACTGGACTCATCTGCTGGACAAGGCGTCAATGAAGTCACCAACATTGATATACCTCTTATCCTTATCGCTGAAGTTTTTCATCTTATCCGGATCTATCCCGATCTCAACTCCATCTTCGCCCCCCTATTCTGATTGTTGTTCCTTTTGTTGATTTTCCACGGTTTGTATCGCAGATAGCAGCTCCTAGTCGATTATATGCGTCCTGACAGAGGTCCTGTGTTAAAGTCATACCATTTTTGGAAAGCTTCTTCCACCAGAAGTTCAAAACGCTTAGCTGACCACCGGTATCAACAACATTCTTGACGGCAAAGCGTAGCCATTTACCCTTTGGGGTTTTTTTCATCAGGGATTCTGCTAAAGAATGCAGCACAGGCACTAGTCGTATATTCAGCAATATAGCTGCTTGCAACTTCGTTGCCTGTAATTGTATTAGTAGATCTAGGAGGCTTATAGAAGACTAAAATGGATACCAACCTTTCATTATACAGTCGCACTGAGCAGTATGACCATCAACGTTCCAGTATCCACACTTTCCAGTCCCCTTCGCTCGTCGGCTAAGAGGAACCCAGTTCGAGGGTGGAAAACCTTCCACCCGATTGTCATATTTCTGGGCAGCAGAAGTGCTTGAAAGTGATGGGTCCAGGGGTATCCATTTGGAGCGCTCCGAGATAGAGACAGGGCCGGCTGATGGAGGCGCAGAGCCTTCAATGCTGGTGACCAGGGGATGGATAGCTCCCGCTAGTATCAACATAGCAAGATAACCCAGCACCAAGATGATTGATTCTGGAACTTGGCAGCATCAGTAAGCGGGTTTCTTCCGTAGAACTCAGGGAAAAAGTTACGTTTCATTGTTAGGAACTGATTTCGTTGTTGGGAAAGGATTCAAAGTTGAGAATGCGTATGCAAGCGCTCAATGGTAAAGATAGATAAGCTGTAGAGTCGATCGACGAGAGCACGTCTTGATTGAAAGAGATAATACTCTGAATGAATGCAAGAACAGCCGGGACAGAGCTTGCTTTATAACTTTTTTGATGAGCGCTTAGACGTTGTGTGTGTGTCTCTCTCTCTCTCTGAATCTTAGCCTTTCACATTCTGACTGTTGTACACGTATAGAAGCTCCAACACAATATGGACGTCTATCACCCGGTTTTACCTACATGACCTTATGACGTCTGCTTCTATGGAGTAGCCGACTCATCCCAACCAACACTAGAGGGGATACGGTATACTATTGGACCATAATCACCTTTCCTGCTCTGCGCAATACTAATTTAGTAAACCTGATTTTCCGAATATTGAAATTGAAGGAACACTAGGCATATATGTTTCAGTATTTTCCTTCATGTCCTGCAGTTGTACAGGAAACTTCAGGGATACACTGCCACATTCCAGGGATCATTATACTAGCGTTATCTTTGCCTTTTACTTCTGGATTACTTACTGCTGTATTGTAGCTGCCTGGGCCCTGGATGAAGAGAAGAACTGTACGCGTGAGTAGCTGGAGATAAGGAGGGATACAGCTCACGCACAAATCATGTCACTGGATTCAAGCTAGTCTATATTGAATTGGAATTCCATATTGCTTTTATACTTTTCTACCTAGTAGATAGCTGAAGTACACTACTATTTGGAATACTACCTGCCTCCAATAAAAAGGATCATCTATCATTGAGCTGTTGGCTGTGAATGGCTTCTATGTAGTTGCCTAACATAGAGCTGTACCTCTGAGGTGCCGGCTCTGTATCAGAACATAGTGATATCTCAATTTTCTCTTGCGCCTGGCACTAGCCCCTGTTAATTCGAGAACTGCCTCTACTATTTCATTAATTATCATAGCCCTAGGATAGTTTATAGTATTTCTACTGTTGAGAGGGATATCTATTTCATCATCAAGTTATGGATATGTCTCGGGCCTAATCTTAGTCAAAAAACCAGACATGGCTCCAGACTCTTTGAGATTACGTAGTATTTGGTTTCTAAGCAGCAATGACCTCGCGTAGTCTACTTTTAAATGGAAGTATCTTCGAACAGAACTTAGCGCGCATCATACAAAGCAAGAGCCAACTTGACGTAGATTACATGCATGAATTAGCGGCCGGGTTAGCGGCCAAGTATCTATCATGTCGGTTAGACCCACCACCACATACACTTTAATCGTCCTAATATCGTCTAGAATACTACAGATTCATGACCGCCCACATATATGATATCATCACACTGGCACACGGATAGTAGGAGAGGGGATAAAGTTGGACCAGTCCTACTAACTACCTAACTTTGGTTGTAAGAACGCGATGTGAGTTAGCCTGGAAGATTATTGGATGCACACTACTACTCCTAGTGTGTGCTGCCGCAGGCACCTTGCATGTTGCTTCGGGTACGGATATTACAGCCATACTGCCACCAGGTTACACGTACTAGTGAAATAATATAATTGTATTCATGCTGCCGGGGATCTGCAGGGTTTGAAACAGAACCGTAATAGGCGCATTGTTTCTACTATTTTACCTTTTCAATTCTACTTTTGTGAAAGTCTAGTCCGGTGAGAAAAGCTCTCATTAGTGCCCCAAAAATACGACAACGTGCAGGATGCAGAAGGACGGAAGAAGAAATGCGCGCTACATACCTTAGTAGCGGCGGAGAAAGGATGTTGGGATGTAGGACGTTTATGATTGGCTCTAGACATGCCACTTACACTTGGTCATTTGGCGATGACAGAGGCCAGAACGTCCTACGGAAATCCTGAGCACGAATTGGAGATATCATGGTCCAATCTAGCTTAAAACACGAGTGGGATGTGGCCGGCACCGATGACATCCCCCTGCTGATCTTAGGGTAAGAAAGGTCACAAGCATAGCTAACACTATCATTGATGCACTCAATGTATCCCTTCATTATAGCCTTACACGAAACTAGAAAAAGTATCTCATTACCCCTAGCCTCAGAAACGGCTCCGCTTAAGGTCATACGTTCCTGTGAGCTTAAATACATAGTATGCCGCAACGTCGTATCGACGCATACTTCTCCTACGCATCGATACCAGACACTTCTCCCACTTCATCAGGGACATCGTTTTTAGATCTTCCATATCCACTCCGCCGCTATATCTATATTCTATCGGGGTTGGTTCGTTTCTGTCCCATTAATTTCAACGGATCGGAGCTTGATGGTCCGAAATGCCAACACATAGGATATGAAGAGAATGGATGCTTCTATAAAGTGCGACGGTTCCATGGCAGGTACATACTCGGAGCAGGTGACGATTATGTTACTAGATGCTCCTGCCCACCACTACCTATTCCGTTGCTCTATGTATCGCGGACCATATCAGATGAGGTATCATCCATTTTGTATTCGGAAAACAAGTTCATGATCAGTCGGAGCGGATCCTGGGGCTTACGCCCATTGCGGAGGCTCAATAGACATGCAATCCACTCATTACGATCCCTTACTATTATCCTGAACAACTGCTCCTGCATCTTTCAATATGGACGGACTGCCATCCCACTCACGTTCGCATGCAATCCCCTTTGTCGGAGTCATGGTCTCCATGGTAAACCACTAGGTAGTGTGGCTCGACAAGACCGGGCAGTCCTGCAGGAATGGCAGGGTATCCGTCAAATCCTGGCAGACAATATCCAACCTCTGTCACTTCATCTAAGTTTTATTTGCGATACTAGGGACCTTCAAACTGCGAGGGGCATTGTTGAATCTTTAGGATAGCTCCCCTTGCTTCGTGGCTGTTCAATCCGTCTCGGCCAGAGCCCAGACTGGTCGATTTCATCTCTAGCCCGATCCATATGCCTTCAGTTAACTTGCAAAACACCCCATGATGCCGGCCACCCTACCACACCACACCTGCCCGATGAAGTCTTGGAGTATATACTGTCCTTTACCGAACTGGTGGCTCCATTTCAACTAGAGTGGTGTCCTATTCGGGGCTTAGCCCCCTTTGACTGCTGCAAGACATGCACCGATTCCCTTTGGGGCTGCTGCTGCTGCTCTTTTTACCTTGCAGCCTACGCAACTGGGTGTACCTGTTGGAGATTGCCACTTTCCCTTTTCCTAGTCAGTAAAAGGATGTATCGGATTGCGACTTCAATATTTTACTCAAGAAACACTTTTTTCATTGTTACTATCCACCGCAAGTGCGTTATATGGTCCCTAGAAAAATCACCTTCAATCCCGACCATAACCACGCAGTTCCTGAACCGACTTCCGTCCTATGCGCGCCCACACCTCCGCTCTATCACTATAGGCTTCCTTGACTTTTGGCCCCAGTCTGTCTTCAACCACCGAGCCATAGCAGACTTGAAGAAAGGCCTTGATATATTGGCCCAAAACCTTGATCTCTCGAAGCTTACAATATCACTTCAGATTGATTCAGCCAAAAATTTTATAACTAATAAGTCAGTTGATGGGTGGATTCAAGCATGTCACTTAATAGTCCAACCCTTGATTCATACGAGCAGGATCAAGAGGCTGTTTGTCTATATCTCTCCTCGACAAGCAAAGCATTATGAACCCGTTCTAGAAAAGGCTGTTCTTGGGGATAACTACGATGCCGTGCAACATGGGAAATATTCTGCGAAGGTTCCATTATGGTATAATGGCTACAGCAGGGAGGGTCCGGTTTACCAAGCTGATGGGCAAAAGGTCTGGCCTCCAGATTATTTTGACGACTCAAATTTTGTTGATGAAGACGGTCTATAAATCATATAGCTCTGGTTCAAGTGTTTTTGCCTAATTAATATCGTTTGCTGTTTAGTATTGCACGTGCCTTGGGGAGACATTTTCCAGAATACTTGGTAGCCAGTCTAGAACTATCCCCGGAATGAAGAAACATACTCTCCAGCGAAGGGGGCTTGCTATGAGACCTCATAGAAGATTTACCAACAGATATGCTGGGGAGAGGTACACCTGGTCTTATGGATAGCAATATACCAGAGCGTTCCCTCTTGGGGTAAATATTCTGGCGCCGAACCCTGTCGTTGGATAAAAATGGCATACATGATACCCTAAAACCTAGACTATATCTTTAGATCTTGGGGTAAATAGGCTACATGAAAGATTTTCGCAGTAACAGTCTATTGATGTAATTAAGTAGCTCAGCTCTGTATACGAGTTTACTTATGCATGGATCTCTAATTATAATCGTTATACTGGTGATTCTGGTGAGTTAGTTAGTCCTTGGTATAGTGATTATAGCGATCAGCTAATTATCTCGACTAGACCTAAAATTAAATAGTCGATCATCGGCGCACTGATATGCGCAGGTAACAAGACCGACTATTACTTCTACGCGATTTGGTGATAGGTAAGGCGCTTCCCGTGCTCAGTGAGGCTGGGGAAGTGCGCAGGTATCAAGTTCGCCCTCCGGTTTCTAGGGTGCTTATTTTTGTCGGTGCCGTCTTATGGATTTTGCGTTTTTTGTCTGCCCTTAAGCGAGAATCCAAGAAAAGGATTCATAGCACTGGCTTTTTAGGGTGTCAGCAGGCTCCAACTATGTAATGCCACACTGACTATCTATTCTTGGGAGTGGGATATCTAGCCCGGTCGATGGAATCTTTCTAAAGCACGGTTCATAGTAGTGCTAGTTAGTTAGTTCAGTAGGTAAATAAAATGAGAGGAGAAGTAGTAGATACTAGGGGACAGGTAATCCAATAGGTACAACCAAGCCCTGGCGGCTCGTGTGTATTGAATGGTTAGAGCAGCAGCACCTTGCGCAGGATTGTTGGCGCAAATGATAATCGAGGGACATGGGCACTGGTAGTTCCCCAAATTTGGTAGACCACCTCTGGTGGAAGTTTGAACCACCTACTAGTATTCATCTCAGACTGAATTGAGCT